CAGATCAAAATTACCAGAAAGAGCAAATGGGTAGCTACAGAAACTAAAAAGATTGAGTCTTTCTTCAAGCAAAACTAGAGACAGATACAAAACGACTCGTCGAATAGTTCGAATAGATTAGATCCAAATGTACAAACAACAACGAAAACTCTCACAAGTGAAGTGTCAGAACAAAAGAGAAAAATGTGAGACCAGAGAGAGAGAGAGAGAGATCATTAGAGAAGGAAACATACCGAAGAAACTGAGAAATGGCTGCAAAATGATAATGAAAGTCATCTCATTGTCTTCTCTAGTTCACACTCCAACAGCTCTCTTTCTCTCTCTGTGTCTGCAATTATATTCTTTTAGATTTGGAACTCTTTGTGCGACAAAATTAAAAGATGAGAATGATTTGACGCACAACAGTAAAAAAAAAATTCTTTTTTGTTTTTAATAGTATAAAATTTGTTATTTTGCCTTTTTTGTTGTTTCTTAATTACCTTAATAGTGAGATTTGTTTTGGAAATTGAAACGTTGAATAGAGAGTAGTAAATTAACAAAAATTAATTAGGGGTAGAAACTGATTTTTCAACGGATAAATTTTATTTTTATAAATTGGTGTAATCAATGCAATTAAGGGAAAATGATACGGTCGTTGTGTGTAATCCCCTCGTAAAACTCGATTATTTTTTATTTGTCTTCTTAAATCTTACTTAATCGTAATCCGAGATTTGGGGATTGTGCTGAAGGTTGTTAACTTGTAAGTAGGCCTGGGCAAAAAACCCGTACCCGAGTACCCGAACCGGACTATCATAAAATTATTTTCTTTAAAGAATCGGATTTTTATTTCTTTTGTGACTAATGTAAGCGGATTAGGTTATGTATCGGGTCGGGTTCGGGTTTTACCCGATACCCGATGGTGTAAACCGAAAACCCGATCCGCTTAAATGCCCTTAGGTTTAGTCTCTAACCCGATTAATCTTTTGACTATTTAGCTTTTTCCCTTTGCTCGATTCTAGAACCCTAAACCCTAAACCCGATACCCGATGGTGTAAAAAATGTATTCCACAGTGTAAACGGGTAGAAAATACCCGAACCCGACCCGAAACAAGCAAGAACCGATATTTTCGGGTTTTTACCGGTTCTCAAATCTGATACCCGAACCGACCCGAACCCGACCATACCCGAACCGAAACCGAACCGATGTTTCGAGTTTACCCTATTGGGTCCTATATTACCATACCCGACATACCCGAACCCGATCGGGTTTTACCCGAACCCGACCCGCGGACCCGAATGCCCAGGCCTACTTGTAAGTATCATTATTCAAATATCAAAGTTTTTAGAAAAACATCTACATTAGATAGAATAAAATTATTTTCTTTAAAGAATCGGATTTTTATTTCTTTTGTGACTAATGTAATAGCGGATTAGGTTATGTGTGTCTAGTGATTTGTGCAAAGATTAGGTGACATTAATGTAGGTTGGAAAATTAGATCTAGATCATGAACGGAAAATGACAAATCTGTCCTTTGCTCAAAATGTTTTTTTTTTCTTGGGTTTTACAAAAGGTAGGTCCTTTAACCTGTCACCTTCTGCTAAATTTGACCGTAGGACAGGTAAAAAAAATATTTGCATAAATTTAAGAAAAATACTACAGTATTGTTGTATTTTTAGGAAGGTAAAAGTAATTTTGGAGATTTCTTTTAGGAATTAGATAGAGCACGTTAATGTTTGTGAAAGATGATCGGTACTGATTTTTATTTTAAATTTTATTTGAGATAAAATAAAGTCTTCTATAACGTTAACTAGAACATGTCTTGATTGGATCCATGAAAAGATTTATACTAAAAATATTGTTTGTTATTTTATAAATTTAGAAAAGAGTACAATCATTCCAAAGCTTGTGACCCCATGTCATATGTTCTGAAATAGCATAATTAGAATTTGTGCATACAATAAATAATTATTTTCTTAAAAGAAAATTTTGAGCTATATTTCTTTATAATGTCCACATGTCTCATAATAATTATGGAAAGCAACCCTTTATAAAATATTAATAACCTTTCTTATTTATTGAACTACATCTTTATTAAGTTTAAGTATGACGTGCTATTTTAATTAAAAATTAGTGCATGTAAAAAAATAGAAAAATTTAAAAAAAATGATAAATTCATCAAAAATATGTGACCGACATCTCTTTAAAAACTAAAATGCCGACGATTAATTTAGAATGCATTTTCCATATGTTATATAATTAGTTTTTTTTTCTACTGAAACTTCTTCATTTCATTAATTATTACGTAAATATTTTATAAATATTGAACATCACACCATTTTATAAAAAGATTCACGTTGAAAAACTCTATAGTTCGTGTTATTCACGTGTATTAGCTTTTGATCTAATTTTTAATAATTCCATTAGCGAATGAGTAAACGATCAACACAAGCAAATGGTTATTGATCTAACTTCCCCAATTACTGCAAGCGGAGTAGTGAACTTTCATCGCATAATGATAACTGGTGCATCATGTTTTGCTACTTGTGTTCGCCTTCATGCAATGGTGCAAATTAAACCGGTTTCTTAAGCAGAAGATTTCTTATATTACACATATCGTGACCTTATTAGAAAAGAAATTAAATTATTTGTCAATTCGTTAGAAAATTGATAAAAGACTCCACACCTACAGAATAGCAATGAAAAGTCCACAATAGGTATATAATTATAATTAGATGAAAGGAGGAATGATTAGGACTTAGGAGTGTTATGGTTCGTTTTCTTCTTTTTCAATTCTTTTGCATGATAGTGTTTTATCTTACTTATCAATCTTCTTATTGAAAAATTCGGAATTTTCTTTTTTATGACATAGCTGAACATTAATATCTAAATATAATAATTTGTCATATATATGCTTAAAACAATGATAGCTCACTGTTTGATTGCCACAAAATGTTAAACATGCCATGTTAGTAAAATCAATGCCATGTCATTTCATTCTTAGAATCCAATCCACAAACTTGATGTTGATATATATTATCACAAAAAAAAAGATGTTGATGACATATATTGTGTTCTAAATACGTGGGAATGCAAGGAATTAAATCTCTTATTAGAATATACATGGTTGAATTTTTTGAAAAATTATACATCTATCAACAGTGAAACAAATAGAATCTGTAACCCTATGTGACTATGTGTTGGTAAGATGGTATTGGTTCTAGGGTTAAGAGCGCTACATCTTCCACTGTGCGCGTACTTTGTGTATAAACCACTTGGTCGCTTACGTATTGGCTTGAGTGTTTTATCTATGATGAGCTTGCGAGAAACTCGTTACAAAGAAATCTTCTCACTTGTAGGATTAATCGGATGCTTTGACGAAACCCGAAGGCCGAAGCTATTCCTTAAAAACTAGATTTTATATAAAGATAGTCGCAAGATAAGAACACTAAATTGTAGATTGATTGATTATATTAAATCCCCATATATACGATAATATGATCATAAGATGGATAGGTTTTTTACGTTGATAAAAGATGTTCTAAACTACACTGTAGTTTCTTTTTTCTATCTTCACTTGTGGTCCAAACCTACCCCATATCTAAAGATGTATCCCAACTCCCGAAACTAGGATTTTCTTTTGCACGCACACTACAAGCCCACCAACAAACATCAATAGCAATATCTTCAAAATCACAAAAGGGATAACGAAGGGGTCATCAAGATCTCCTAAAACAAAAGGAAAAATAAAAAGGAGTCACCTGAAAGTATAAAAAGGTGAGATGTCTTTAAAATGTCATATGTTAGAAGCAAATATATTGATTTTTCTCTTTTTGGTTGGTAAAAAAATGCCCCCAACATTTGCAACTCTATTATTCTGTAAAGTCCTCATATTACAAAGAAAAAAAAGGCAGAAAGATTATGGGGCCAATGCATATGATATATTAACATCCTATAATGATTAACTGATAATAAACATATATGATATATAAAAACATTTGTACATATCATATATATTTATTGATATGGTGAAGCCACAAAGGAAGTATGTAAATGTCAAAGAGTATATAAGCGGTGGGTGAATGGTCAATGTTTCTAACGATCGATGGTGAAGTATCATGGTTTAAAGGTCGCATTGTCGGTTTGGTAACGACACATCAACTTTGCAGTTTGCACCAGTTTTGTCTCCTTGAAGCCCCATTCTTCCATCTCCGGTTTAATCTTAACCGGCCCGGTTTTGGGTTCAGAACCAATACCAAATTGCCTAGATGGTTTATTGGGCTTCCGTTGCTAAGGTGAAACTATAACAAATTGCTTAACCTAAAGCCCAATAAAAAAGTTTCGTTTGTTTATTGGGTCTCGGGTTGGAGCAATTAATTTTCTTTAAGTATTTCAAATGGTTGTTATTACTTAAGTAATATAATGTTTTGTAAACTTTGTCAACCATTGGCACATCGCCCAAATGTGATTTTATTTGTTTATTAGATGAAAATGAAAGCACATCTTATTTAATTACATATAATCATATCGGCTCTAATGTATGCATCTAATAAAATAGAAGAGAGACATTGGATTACATTGATCGATATCTTTTAGTATTAATATTTTAAGAAACTCAAATATTTTACCGATGAAGTTGTTCTTAATGTTTTAGTTTAGATATCCAAAAAAATGGGTCTTGCAAAATGTGGACAATGGTTTCAAATGGATTAAACCCAAGAGGACAACGGATCGATCATGTGGTGTGGTTCTACTCTATAACATTTCGATGCGTTCTTACCGAAGCTGAACGGATCAGCCGATAGGGTTTAAAAAAAAAAAAAACGATTAGGATTACGAAAGAGTTTTTTTTTTTAATAGCCATTAGGAGAGAGCAAAAGCACCTAACTAAAGGGACCGTCTTGTGTTCTTGGTGAAAATTAAATGTACAATGGGACATGCAATAACTAGAGAGATGATTTCTTGTATGGTCCGACTGAGACTAAAGCTACAAGTACGAGAATGTAACGATGGGAAAGTGAAAGATGCGACTCGTGATCATATCTTATTAAGTACACGTACTATGCAATAAACTTGTCTTCTCGCCAAAGCAAATTACACATATCTCCCTTCAATCTTCATTTGTCTAATTTTTTTATTAGACAAACAATTAAAGCTCATTCAACTTTTTGATAAAGAAATTTAAAGAAAATAAAGAACAATTAAATGAACACTAGCGTTACATAACGTAGAACACAATAACTAAACAGATGGCAGTTTCAACTATTGCATTCCACCACTCGGTCAAAAGGAGCCTTAGTAATGCACCGGCGTTGGAAGATCGTTACAAGGAGGTGGTGGTGACGGTGGTGGTGGGGGCGGCGGAGGATACACATATGGTGGCGGCGGTGATGGTGGTGGAGGTGGAGGTGGAGGTGGAGGAGGTGGTGGAGGAGGTGGTGGAGGAGGAGGTGGAGGCGGTGGTGGCGGTGGACTAGGTGGAGAGCAGCCGAAGGATGCACAATCAATAGGATAAGAAGAAAAAGATTTACATTCAGCGAGAGACCGTTGCATTGGCCTTGAAGGTAAACAATTTCTACGATCATCAAACTCTTGAAGCCTCAGACAAGCCGGTGGCTCACCGGAGAAGAAGTTATACGAGTAAGTGAAGTTCTCGAGGCTTGGTAATCGGCAGATACTCTCCGGAATGTAGCCGGAAAATTTGTTATGCGCGATGTTTAACTGCTCCAAACTCTTCATATCACCTATAGTCTCCGGTAACGAACCCACCAAGTTGTTGTAACTCACGTCAAAAACCGTCAACTGGTTTAACATACCGATTTCCCGGTTTAAACAACCGGTTATCTGTGAGTTGGAGATAATGAGTTCGTGCAATGTTTTCCCCATTTTGTAGAAACTCGGAGGTACACAAGATCCTTGGAGATCGATGTTGGCCAAGACAAGAACCGAAACCGGAGAGTTTCCAATGTTTTTCGGTAACCTAAACTGGAACTTGTTGTCGTTAATGAAGAGAGCGTCAAGGTTTAGGTCAAAGAGTTGGTCAGGAACATCTCCTTGGAACTCATTGAACCTAATGTCGAGAAACTTCAAGGAAGGCAAAGAGAAGATTACTGAAGGAAACTCGCCGGAGAGTTTATTGTTGCTGACGTCAAGCTCATGGAGAAGCTCGAGACATTTTAGAGTTTTGGGAAGTTGACCTTGAAAACGGTTGGAGTTGATATGGAACAAGGCAAGATCGGTTAAGAGACCGAGCTCTATAGGGAGATACCCGGCGATATTGGCATGGTTTAAGTCTATACCAGCGACGGTTAAGACATAAGGGTTATCTAAAGCCGGTGCACAATACACGCCTGTGTAGTTACAAACATGAGGACCACACCAGTTAGAAGTGAAGCCGTTTGGGTCAGAAGTTATGGTGAACTTCCAAGCTTGAAGAGCTGCATAAGCTTTTAAGAGCCTAGGGTTTGCGATAGGAGGAAGAAAAGGAGCATGTGCATAGCACGGGTTTATGGGAGGAGTATCATAGGTGAAAGCTTGAGGAAGAAGGAAGAGGAAGATGAG